ACAAATCAATGTCCCATTGGGGGCAATAAAGTTACCATTCAAAGATTCAAAATGTTTATTGTCATGTGTACAGAAGAAATAGCATTTCTCTGTGCAATGAAATTCTTCTTCTTCTAATGCCAAGTTAGGTAGGGTTGAAGGAACAAGATAAATAAGGATAAAAATAAGACAAGATATTAAGATAAATAAGGTAAAAATAAGGATAAAAAATACTGAAAGATAAATAAGTACAAAATAAGTAAATGAAGACAAGTGAGGTCCTGGTGATCCTCTCCGCAGTTGTTATCACTCTCTGCAGGCGTTTGCGGTCCATAGCAGTAGTGCTGCCGTACCATGCATGATGCAGCTGGTCAATGTGCTCTCCACAATGCAGCTGTAGAAGCTGCTGAGGATCTTGGCTGACATACCAAATTTTCCTCAGGCTCCTCGGGAAATACAGCTGCTGGTGAGCCTTCTTGACCACTGTGTGGTGTTCAGTGTCCAGGTGAGGTCCTCACTGATATGAACGCCCAGATACCTAAAGCTGCTCAACCTCTCCACTTCACTCTCCCGGATAAACAGCGGCTGGTGAGGCCTCGTCTTCTTCCTCATGTCCACTATCATCTCCTTTGTTTTATCAGTTTTGAGGGTGAGTTTGTTGTCCTCACATCATGACACCAGACCGGCCACCTCTCTCCTATAAGCCACTTCGTCCCTTCCAGTGATGCGACAGATCACTGCAGTGTCATCCGTGAACTTCAGTATGACCCTGTGGAACTCCAGTGTTTGTTGTAATGCTGGCTGAAGTCCTGTTGCCGATCCAGACAGACTGAGGCCTGCCAGTCAAAAAGTTCTGTAGCCAGTCACAGAGGGTGGGGTGCAGGCCGAGTGTAGACAGTTTGTGGATGAGTTTTTGAGGGATGACTGTGTTGAAGGCGGAGCTATAATCAACAAAGAGTACCCTGATGTAGGAGTCATTATTTTCCAGGCGGGAGAGTGAGTAGTGGCAGCAGCGATGGTGTCTGACGTGGACCTGTTGGGCCAGTAGGCATACTGCAGTTTTCTCTAATGCGCTGATGACTTCGTGGAGTTTGCCGAGCGCTGCTGCGAAGTCAGCTCGCGGCCAAAAACACAGCTGAGAGCTCCCGCGGCAGATAGTAAGAGCGGCATTTCAGCATTAGAAACTCCACGTTTGGCGAACAGTACTTGTAGACAGTCTGCACGTCTCCACACCACGAGTTGTTAATAAATGCACATAGACCTCCCCCAAAAGCCTTACCGGATTCTCCAGTGTACAGAGTGAGTCTGCAACTGGACGGCACATTCCAGGACTTTATCTGAAAGCCAGGTCTCGGTGAAAATAAGAGCACAGCATTCTCTTATCTCCTGCTGTGTTGTGATCCTGGCTCATATTTCGTCGAGTTTGTTTTCCAGGGACCGCACATTGGCTAGTAAGAGGTGGTTGGCTAGCCCGAGCTTTTAGCCTAGCATGGAGCCCACCCCTATTGCCTTGTTTGCGTCACTGTCTCCAAAGTGCTCTCCTGGGGTCGGCTGGCTCACTTGGGCTTGGTGCTTCGTGGCCTTCCTGGGAGTGGTGGCGGTGGCTGCCGCGGGAAAACAATGGCTGTAAGTTCCGGTGGTAGAGCGGAAAGCTCCAGGGGTAAGAAAAGAGTAGAGTCCAGATAATTGTGTGAGTTGCCAATGTCTAGTAGTGCCTGTCTCGTGTATGTTAACAGCGCACAACACTTGTCCACTGCAAAAAGAACAGTGAACACACAAAAAAGCAAAAGAAAGTCGGACATTGACCATTGACCATTTACCAAATTCATGTCCAAAAGCTTTCTTGATTAACACTGCTTTCCACAGCTTTCATATCTTACAACCCCATTTGCATTAAGTTCAAGCAAAGTAATCCCTGCACTCCAAGACCATTTTATAGATACAAATACTCAGATATCATCAGATCTGTACCAATGCCACTTGCTGCAGTATAGGGAGGATGGGCAGGGGAGAAGATTGAGGAGAGGGTTGGGAGTGGGGATTGTGGGTGTGGTGCATGATTTCTCTTAATCCTTGGTAAAGTAACACATTAAGCTTGTTTTTAATCCACCGAGAAGGGAGAAGGATTGAAAGTCCATCAGTGAGATCATTTGATATATGGGCTTGGAATGGTTTGTTGTATGATCTACTAAGAATAGCATAAGAATTGTGTTCTTTTCAGAAAATGTAGAGTTTACCAGAGGATACAGTTTCAAAGTTATTACATGAACATGAAAACATACACACTCAATGAGTAGGTCTGGCTTAGGTTTCATACAGAAACAGTTGAGGATCAAACTGTGCAACCCTGCTATTAGGGGACAATCCTCTTATAGATGACGACATTATCATACAAGTGACATGACAAATGCAAAGCGTTTTTTCCTCATGTCATTTGAGACTGGTCTTGCCAGAAGAACAACAATATTGGCTCATTATTGAAGGAAATTAAAATGACCAGAAAAGAACCCCTGTAAGCAGAGCTTCAATGCCCAACAGTCCGTTTTCGCTCCTGAAGCGTAATATACTGACGATTTGTCAAGTCCCAAGGCATTCCTGAGGAACGCGGAAGGTCACCTTTCGCGTTCTTATGCTACGCGCCGGGTTACGGATGAAATCCAGTAGAATGACGCTCCCGCTGTAATACACATTCCAGCCATGTATTCCAGCCCTAACCCTAACCAGCACTTTAATGACGTTAGATAGTCTTTCCAAAGCGATTTAAGTAAAACAAACATACATGTGTAAATTCATTCTGAACGATTCTCGTGTTTCCTCATTTTTCCAATCTCATAATATAGGGACGTGTTGGGTGCCCGGAACGTAATATATCGTCACCTAGCGTAAAATGTTACGCTTTGGGAGTGAGAACGTGTTGTGCCCAAAGTGCCCAGATGCAAAACACATATCAGTAATTGGTAAAGAGCTCTACAGATGCTGGTGAAAATTAAACACAGACATTGTGTTTTCTTTTTCTGCTTTCCACTTTTCCACACCTGAAAACAAAAAATAAAAAATTAAATGTGTCTCATCATATTGATAATGCTAATTTAACACATTAATGGAAAAACAAGCTAAATATCACCTGCTGCACGATGAATCTGATGTCAGAACTCTGGAGATCGGATGAGAAAATTGTGCTGAGCAGCTATATATTAACAAACAGAAAAACAGAAACATTGGTTTATGCTTCCTCTTGCTTTAATTATTAAAATCACTCTAAATCACGTCATTTTTAAAGGTGTGCATGGCTGTATATTCCCATTAAGATATTTTGAGCTTGTGAAATGTAATGGACAGCAGAAGCTTGTCATTTCTGTTATTTAAGTACACATTATCCCAGTGCATCATCTCTGAGGGGACAAGAGCTCAGGGAAATGACACAATAATCAGCATGGTATTTGTTTCCTTTTTTGTTGCTAAAGCTTTAAGCACTCATTGGTGAATGGGTCAGTTGCACCCATATACCATCTGGAGATGTTGGCTTAATATGACTAGAGTGACTAGAGTTAGTTCAGTTGCTAGCTTTACTCAGTGCAGCTCCCCTTGGCTGTGTGGCAGCCCTGCCTAGTGTTGTCTAGCAGCATGCCAGACTCCACTCCAGCAGTGACAAGCAGATTAAGCTGACAGCAGTTCCTCATGTTTACAGCTTAGATCAGCACAGGCACCAATCTGTTACGCCATCAGACAGCTGTTGCTTCACCAGTGACACTTTGTCCCAATTTAAGAGCAGACATGGAACTGAGAAGTGGTCCAAAACTGGCTGTGAAAGTACATTCAGTATTATTGAAGGTACTTTGAAATTCTGTGTTTGATAGAAATTCCAATGTTTATGAACACTTTCTCCATCATAGTAATAAGTCATGGTGACACAAGGATATGTTTTCACTATTCCTTGATAAATTATCATTTATACTTTCCTTTTTGATAAAACTTATATTTAGGGCTGGACAGGTGACAGGTTATGGGCTCAGGCTGCTGGGAGACTTCCCATGTTGCACTGACCTTTTTTCTACATTTTCCTCCTTTTCCCTGACTGTATGTTCAACTATTGCATTTCACTATTTTTGTCTATACTGCAAAAATGGCTAGTCTATATTTAGGAAAGAAATACTACATTTGATACAAAAAGCACTGAAAACAAGTGAAATTATCTGTCCATGCAGCAAGTTTATTTTACTTAATAAGAAATCTTGAAATAAGATTTTTAATCCAGAAATAAAAGAACACATTTGAGAATTGAAGAGGGTTAAAATAAGCTTTAAAAAGCTCAATTTAAGATAAAATTACTTGATATCAAGTCCCAAAAGTAAGTTAAATATGCTAAATTACAGTCTTTTTTTATGTTTTGAATTCTTACTTGCAGCAAATGAATGCACTGCAACGAGAAAAATAGTTCTAATACTATGAAAAACTACTCAATATTAGTGAAGTATGATTAATTTGTTTCTTGATTCAGGTTGGCTTATCTTAAAATAGAGCCGAATCGATATTAAATCCAGGCAAAAAAACCTTAAAACAGACCTTTTTCCTAGAATACTCCTTGGCTTCTATTGAAATCACAACCAGGGCAAGAGTGATATATGTCAACATTTATTTCTCTCATGAGAACAAAATCCTTTATTTAAACAATATAGGGCTGCTGCACAATCCCTAAAAGTCTAAATCAACCCTTTAAAAGGCCTAAACAGAGAAAAGAAGTTACATTTTGGCCTTAAACTTTTGTGACAGTCACATAGTCTCACAATGTTGTAAATAATGGCATTACTGACTTAAAACTTTACATGCCTCAGGTAAAGTATCACTAAGAAAAAACAACAACAACTTTCATTTGTAAAGCATTATAAGTAAAGCCGTTTCTCAGGACATTGCTAGGCAAATTAGGAACAAAGTTGTACAAACGTACTACAAAACTAAACAAACTGCAAATGACCTGATAAAATCCTGCTTGGTATTCACCTATTTCTCAAAGAACGACTTCCACTCAGCTATTGCTTTCTTATATGCACTAGTGGCATCTTGATCATGGATGGCATCAGTGATTACCTCAGTTTGTATGACAGAGAGGACCGTTGCAACACATTTTGGGTATGTTAAGTGCAAGGTGTAGTAATATGCCATCAACACCAACATTCCTTCCCAGAAATCCTCCAAGGGGAGAGTGGTCACTGGTATGTTTCCTACAGCAACAATGCTGGTTGTTCCATCAAAAAGCAGCACTGGGGAGGAGAGAGGCCGCTTCTCCAGGTATAGCATTGCATCTTCACCTGGCTAGAAAAGCACAAAAAAGGACAAAGTCTTCAAGATTTTAAATGAAAGGGTTGCTGTGCATCCAAACAGCTTAAGACACAAAAAGCAATATCAACAGTTTAGAATGCTCCAACTGATTTACTGTTGGAATAGAAGAAATAAATGTAAAATATCTGACTTACATAAATATGAAATTTTGGAAATGTACACAGCAAAATCTCCAGTGTTAAATTAACACTACAGAGTGTCTATATGGGTCCACACCTCTGAGTGTTAAATACAACACTGTTGAGTGTTAAATTAACACTTTGACAGTGTTATATGTTTAAAAGTAACCTAGTCAGTTTTGAAGATTAACAATGGCTAACACTGAGCAGTGCTGGTTTTCTAACACTAGAATATTTCTAACATTTTGATTTATTTTCCTGTGTTAGAAAATCAGCACTGCTCAGTGTTAGTCTTTGTTAATCTTCAAAACTGACTAGGTTACTTTTAAACATATAACACTGTCAAAGGTGTTAATTTAACACTGGAGATTTTGCTGTGTATTAATTCTGAGCATGAATTTTCTCTAGTTTGCAACATTTTTATCATGTCTATTTGTGCTTTTTTTCCTCATTTGTTTTTTAAAACTATTTCTTTTAACTGTTTTACATATTCTAGTTTTTGAAGGCCTTTTTAAATATATCATTTTACTGCTTCTACTTGTATCCTAACTGCAATGTGCTTTTGCTCTGTGCTGCCTCTCTGGAGTAGGTTTTGAATAACAATTAAGAAATCCTGACTAAGGAGTAATTTAATCCCTGCTGAATTGAACTTCAACCCACTCTTATTAAGCAGGAAAAGCAAAATAATAATATTAATAATAACAATACAAGTAAATGGAGTACAAGTTACAGTGGCTGGTATTGCAGCTGTTCGCACCTTGAGGATATGAAGGAGAGCCTCACTGGCACTTCCCAGCCGCTTTGGTGGTGTAGTTTTTGAAGGAAAAAGAGATGGAAGTGCATTGAAGAGAGTGACAGTAAAATCCACTGTGAACGGAGAAAAGTATCTCAACAAAGTAGGGCTGAACGATTATGGAAAATAATCTAATTGCGATTTTTGCCCCAATATTGCGATTGCGATGCGATATGCGATTATTTTTTAAGGTCTTTGTCTTCTGTATTATTAAACAAAGACAAGCAATACATCATATAGTATGGCCAATACTATATTACATTAATTTTAAACTGTTCTTTCCTGGAAGACAGACCTCTGTTATGATGACATGAGGTGATGCATGAATTGATGACTGACATTTTTATTTAACTTCTTCAATCACAACAGTATATTGAACATACACAATAGTTTATTTTTAGCTTACATACATCTGAGCATAAAGTGCTGACAAGGAACCTGTCACGGTCTGACTGGGGCAGACCGTATGTGTTGCAGAGGAGGACTCAAACGCAGACCAAAACGTGGTGTGGATTAACAAAACAAGCCGTTTGTTGAGGTTAGCAACGAGGGTACAAAATAATAGGGCATCGGTGAAAACTACACAACCTAAACTGGGTGAACTAATAACAAAACATGAAAAACCTTAACCATAGTGAACTGACATGGGTACCTGGAGATGAGACATGGATGAGCAGACGACCTGACAATGGCATGCAGAAAACAAAGGGCTTAAATACATACATGAGGTGATCAGGGGAGGTGGAGACACATGGGGGAAACAGCTGACAGACATAAACCTAATGACAGGACCAGGAGAGGAAAGCTAAATACAATAAACAAAGAACACATGACATTGTCAGAATAAAACAGGAAATACTAAAACTAAAACATGACAACACAACTTAACAGACCTAATATGTGATGAATAAATACAAAACCCCAAAACATAGAAAACCCAGGAACAATAACTGCCTAAACTAAAGGCAGATAGGAAATAACACAAACTAAATCACATAACAAAATGAGACAAATACAAACATGAACTCAGAGCGCTGGGTCAGAGACCCAGCCTGTGACAGAGCCCCCCCCTCAAGGGCGGATTCCAGACGCCCAAAACCTCGAAAAACAAACCAAAAACAACCCACCAAGGGCGGGCGGTGGGGTCCAGAACGGAGGGCCAGAAACAAGGCCAAAAAAACCAAAATGTCCATCAAAATCACAGGAGCGCAGGGAACAGTTCATGACTCCTCAGGGGGCCGACCCGGAGGGTGACGGTCCAGAAAATCATAGTTCATGTGATCAGGGGGCCGGCCCGGAGGCCGACGGCACAGAAGTCCATGGTCGAACAGTTCCAGGGGCCGTCCGTGCGGACGGCAATGGTGGCGACATGGAAACCGTTCAGGGGCCGACCGTGCGGACGGCAACGGCGTAGAACAGTTCAGGTGGCCGACCGTGTGGACGGCAACGGCGTAGAAACAGTTCAGGTGGCCGACCTCGACGGCGGTGACGTCCAGCAGGTGGCCGAAGATCCCAGGTGCAGAGCGAGGCTTGGGCGGCGGCATAACAGCCGTAGGACCAGGCGATGCTGAAGCAGAGGCTGGACCAGGCGTAGCAGAGGCCGGACCAGGTGAGGCAGAAGCAGGGGCAGAGGCCGAAGCCGGACCAGGCGTAGATGAAGACTCTGACGAAGCCGGACCAGGCGAAGATGAAGACTCTGACGAATCCGGACCAGGCGAGGATGAAGACTCTGACGAAGCGGAACCAGGCGAGGATGAAGACTCGGATGAAGCTGGACCAGGCGACGACGAGGCGGCCGCAGGTGGTGGCTGGACAGGCTCCTCGGCCCTCCAGCTGACGCAGGCGTGAGGCTGAACGGGCCCCTTGGACCCTCCAGCTGACGAGGCATGAGGCTGGTGTGGTCTCCGGAACCACCAGCTGATGAGGAAGGGCTGCGGACGGGCTCCTCGGGCCCTCCAGCTGACGAGGCATGAGGCTGGACGGGCTCCTCGGGCCCTCCAGCTGACGAGGCATGAGGCTGGACGGGCTCCTCGGGCCCTCCAGCAGACGAGGCATGAGGCTGGACGGGCTCCTCGGGCCTCCAGCTGACGTGGCATGAGGCTGGATGGCTCCTCGGGCCCTCCAGCTGACGAGGCATGAGGCTGGATGGGCTCCTCGGGCCTCAGCAGACGAAACTTGAAGCTGGCCGGGTTCTCCTGAACCTCCAGCAGACAAAACATAAAGGGGGCTGGCGGAAGCTGGCTGGGTTCTCCTGAACCTCCAGCAGACAAAGCATGAAGCTGGCTGGGTTCTCCTGAACCTCCAGCAGACGAAGCATGAAGCTGGCTGGGTTCTCCTGAACCTCCAGCAAACGAAGCATGAAGCTGGCTGGATTCTCCTGAACCTCCAGCAAACGAGGCATGAAGCTGGCTGGATTCTCCTGAACCTCCAGCAAACGAGGCATGAAGCTGGGTGGATTCTCCTGAACCTCCAGCAGACGAAGCATGACCAGCAGGTGTAGAGACCACCGGCTGGACAGAAGGCTGAGCAGGTGATGGAGCGAATGACTGAGCTGAACAATGGGGAGCTGGCTGAGCTGCACAGTGGGCTAAGGCTGAGCTAACGGAAACACAGGAAAATGAACTATGACTGGGCTGCTAACAGAGCTAATGACTGAGCTATAGACTGAAAAGCATGCAGTAGTGATGGTGGTGTTGGTTGCGGACTGAATTCTCCTGAGCCTTCAGTAGAAACAGGAACGGGTGCAGGCACCTGCTGGACACTAGCCACTCCCACCCGAGGAGTAGGTACGGGTGCGGAGACGGGCTGTATCCTGGCTGACCTCACCCTGGGACCGGCATGGGTGCAGGGGTGGACTGGTTCACAGCCCCCCTCACCCCGGAAGCCGGGACAGGCACCGGCAACGGCTGGGCAACTGCCCTTCCCACCCGAGGAGCTGGTACGGGTGCAGAAACGGACAGAGCCTCAGCTGGCCTGGAAACCAGAGCAGGGGACCAGCTGGGCCTCAGACTCCCTCACCCGAGGAACTGGTACGGGTGCAGGGGTACGCTGGGCCCGAGCTGCCCTGGCAGCAGAAACACGAACAGGCAAAGGAGCAGGCTCAGAAAAAACAGTCTTAGAAACGGCAGGCTTAGGGTTAATATGTATTGGGTCGACAAAAACAGACCTAGCAAAAATGAATCCGCCGTCCACTTCATGTTTAGCAGTCTTAGTATTAGCAGTCCTTGGGTTAACGGTCTTAGAGTGAGCTGACTTGGGGATGATTGAACCAGACTTAACAAAACCTGAACTGAGTGTTGTAGACCTGGTAGAAGTGTTAACAGTTTTTCCTTTAACCGCATGTGCAGGCTTAGGCGAGCAGGAATTGTCTTCATCCCTCCCTGTGTAGAGGGAGTAAAACAAAACGGATCCTCCCAGTCCACGTCGTCATCCATAAGGGAAATTCCCCATGGATCGGAAGTGAGCAGATTGTTGTTAGCATCAGACGGGTCGTGAGGGTAATAGTCATTGTTACTCACCACCGTGAGCTCGGCATTGTCCAGTTTATGGCGACGGGCGCGCTGCTTCCTTCGAGTGGAGGAAGCCGGCGGAGCGAGCGACTGAGCCCCGGTGCACAGAACGGAGACACCGAGGCTGGAGCGTGAGCGCCTGAAGCCACACGGAGGACTCCCACCTGAAGCGAGCGAGGCTTAGATGCAGGCAGCGCAACAGGCGGGGACTTTCGGCAGCTCTTGGGACCTCCGAGAGCTAGCCGAGTCCCGTGGAAAATGCGCTCGTAGTCGGGGGTACGCCACGGCTTCCAGCGGAGCTCCTCCTCCAGCTGGGCGAAGGCTGCCTCCCGACGCTCGTAAAGCTCGCGGTCTGCTGAGTCCATATGGTCAGGTCGTACTGTCACGTCTGACTGGGCAGACCGTATGTGTGCAGAGGAGGACTCAAACGCAGACCAAAACGTGGTTGGATTAACAAACAAGCCGTTATTGAGTTAGCAACGAGGGTAAAAATAATAGGCATCGTGAAAACTACACAATAACCTAAGCTGGGTGAACTAATAACAAAACATGAAAAACCTTAACCATAGTGAACTGACATGGGTACCTGGAGATGAGACATGGATGAGCAGACGACCTGACAATGGCATGCAGAAAACAAAGGGCTTAAATACATACATGAGGTGATCAGGGGAGGTGGAGACACATGGGGAAACAGCTGACAGACATAAACCTAATGACAGGACCAGGAGAGGAAAGCTAAATACAATAAACAAAGAACACATGACATTGTCAGAATAAAACAGGAAATACTAAAACTAAAACATGACAACACAACTAACAGACCTAATATGTGATGAATAAATACAAAACCCCAAAACATAGAAACCCAGGAACATAACTGCCTAAACTAAAGGCAGATAGGAAATAACACAAACTAAATCACATAACAAAATGAGACAAATACAAACATGAACTCAGAGCGCTGGGTCAGAGACCCAGCCTGTGACAGAACCCTGGTGTAAACATTAAAATGAAAGTCAGTACAATGTGCAGATTGCAGAAATATACATAAACAAAATCAGTGGCTTACCACACTCAGTTTTCGACATCTGTGAACTACTAGACAGTCATTCAATTAAAAAATAATATTAAATAAATAAACTAATAAATAAAAAATACACACATCTTACTGATCTCTGCAGTCAGTAACATTACACATAAAGTGCAAACATAATAGCAATTGTAATAGCAACACAAACACGCCTTTAAAGTTTAAAGGCGTGAAATGGACGGTCTAGCCTTCTGATTAGCGTCACCGCTGTCTCGGTGGAGTTTAATAAACTCGGCCGTCTGCTTCTTGCTATCTAAAATATAACCAGACACTGGTGTAAATTCTCGACTGTCTCGTACTTCTGTTTAATACGTTTTCTGTTTGACGTTTAGTCAGCTGTGTGAAAACCAAGGAGGAACCCACCCGGGGATTAATAAAGTTTATTTATCTAATCTAAGAACTTTAATCTCAGCCAAACCGATTTACTCACGAACAAACAAAACACTGAAAAAAGCCCAACAATAACATTTTACGTTGTCTAAGTGACTTATATATATCACGTTTAACCCGAGCAGCGAAAGTCCGCGGTGATCTGAAATGATGTGCCGGGAGTTGTGCCGTTCTCGGCCGCATCAGTAACCTCGAGCTCCCGGCTAGCTGTCGAGCTGGTGGGTAGCAGACGCCTGAAACGTCGAAGCACTTTTGCAATATGGATATCTTGATAAACCGAGCAATATTTGATGTTTACACAACTACTTCTCGCCTGAAAATATTTAAAGTTTATTTTGTGACCCAGAAAGATTAGTAAGTAATTCAAAACTAGTAGCGGCTGCCATTGTTGGAAACTGGAGTTTGGCTGGGCCGCGCTATGAATTCTGGGATATGGTAGTAATTTGGACAGCCTTCGGCGCGTCGCTATGACGTAATCGGTCTATAAATGCGGCCTCAGGAGGATGCAGCCCATGAATTTGGACATGTCCAGAGTATAATCGCAGCCTTGCGGTTAGAAAATTGCACTTGATCATGTCGCGATATTATCGCAAATGCGATATATCGTTCAGCCCTACAACAAAGCATCCGAACATATCTGATGTATGATTTTAATGTATGCAAAGGCCACTTACCTCCACGTACATCCAAGGGGAGAGGAGGTTTCAGGACCTTCTTCCAAATGCCATAGAACTGCACCTTCGAACAAACTCTGCCCATCGACCCTTCATTTGATCTATGTATTTGCAGTTGGAGCCACCAATGATGCGACGCAGTTCATCCATCGCCTATGACAAAGTTGTGCTCAGTTAGTCAAGAACTAACCTAAACCTATCCAGAGAAAGCAAGGATTTAATGAAGGTAGTTGAACTTACATTTCGTATGTCTTTGAAGCACGGGTATGCTTCAAGTATTTTTCTAGGCCTGTCTTCTTCCCTTGTAACATCTGCGTCAATAAAAGCTCGTCTGGCCTCAACTCAGGTCCAAATTTGAGCAACGTCACTTTGGTTGGGTTTTGCATTGGGTTTCCTGTACATGTTGCTCAAGGTTTTGTAATGTCTTGCTGCATCTTCAGGCGTCATGGTCTGCTAGGGAAAGCAAAGAGCAATTGTAAGACATGGTGTAACTAGACTTCACAAAATTCAGATTTTCTAATCAGTCATTTCTAGTAAGGTTGCATGTGTTTTTAAGTATAATATTTATGAGAATTAATGTTTAGGTTAAATATGTTTGAGTAATGAACTGACCCTATATTCCTGATCATTTCCCTTTGTGTCCCTTTTCTTATAATGATCTTGGATTTATGTTAATTGTTGTTTGAACAGAATCAAATATTAAAACGAAAGTTTAAGATGCCCGTGAATAAAACTGTGGTAAATAAGGTAAAGGTTGTTTACTGTGTATATCGTTCACATCAGTGTGAACAGTGATTATGAGCTGATGGATAAAATATTTTAGGTAATTTGATCTATGACAGAAACACTGTGATAAGGCATGATAGATGTAACCAGCATGAGGATTTACATGTGTAAATAATTAGCACTGAGTAAACACCATTACAACACAAAGTGGTAAAATACTTACTATGGCTAACTGGCAAACTGGAATGAGGGATCTATCATATGTTGATTTTACACACCAACTCGAGTTAATGACAACCACTATGATTTATGGAATAAACACTTAGACGGGGTTCATTGCTTCAACCATATTTTGGAAAGAGCTGTAAGAGGAACAGTCAGACTGAGAGGTAGATAAGGTGATGGTGGACTTACCAACAACATCATCTGGAGGTGCAGTTGAAGGACCTATATCAGACCTGGGTGCAGAGCATGAGGCTGACTTGAATAATAGTGGTAAAGCCAGCGTAGTATTGTTGACGTAGTTGGTACAATGGGAGGGTAGCAGCAATTGGGATTCTTTCTCTGAGGAAAAAACAGAAGATGAACAGAATGGGTGGTCTCTTTGAAGTTTTAGCATGTCCAAAAGTCATTAGTACAGCAGACCAAAGTACACACCTGCATTTGAGTTATCCTCACTGAGGTCATCATTGCTCTCAAGAAGTATGGTATAGTCACTTGAACCACTTGCTTCACCACTTAGGTCACCTTCAGTCCCGTTGTCTGTGTCATCTGAGCTGAAAAGAGTCTTCCTGGGCCTGCCTCGTTGTGGCATGGA